CACACACACACACACAAACACACACACACACACACACACACACACACATACTCACACACAGACAGAGACACACACACACACAAACACACACAACAAAATTAGAATGTAAATAAAAAAATAAAATGAAAACGCAAAAAGTAAAAACTCTATAAAATATTAATAAAACTTTAATAGCATCTCAATAATATTAAAATAAGACTGGTTCTCACTACCCATAAATAGTATAAAATATATATTTGTTACTCACTCATATCATATGCATATTAATATATACAATAAAACTCCAAATGTTTATTCATAATATACAATATGCATATTACAATGTCGCACAAACTAAATTATGCAAAGAATACAATGAAGAAAACGGAAAAATAGCTAAAAAAAAAGTGCAAGAAGAAAGAAAGAAAGTGCAAGAGAATATAAAATAAAAAACAAGAATAATAATAATAATAAAAAGAAGATATTTGCCATCATTCTCTTTGGCAATCTCACCCACACACACACACGCACACACTCTCTCTCACACACACACACAGACATACTCTCTCTCACACACACACACGCACACACACACACACACACATACTCACACACAGAGACACACACACACTCACACACGTACTCACACACAGAGACACACACACACTCACACACGTACTCACACACAGAGACACACACACACTCACACACGTACTCACACACAGAGACACACACACACTCACACACGTACTCACACACAGAGACACACACACACTCACACACGTACTCACACACAGAGACACACACACACTCACACACGTACTCACACACAGAGACACACACACACTCACACACGTACTCACACACAGAGACACACACACACTCACACACGTACTCACACACAGAGACACACACACACTCACACACGTACTCACACACAGAGACACACACACACTCACACACGTACTCACACACAGAGACACACACACACTCACACACGTACTCACACACAGAGACACACACACACTCACACACGTACTCACACACAGAGACACACACACACTCACACACGTACTCACACACAGAGACACACACACACTCACACACGTACTCACACACAGAGACACACACACACTCACACACGTACTCACACACAGAGACACACACACACTCACACACGTACTCACACACAGAGACACACACACACTCACACACGTACTCACACACAGAGACACACACACACTCACACACGTACTCACACACAGAGACACACACACACTCACACACGTACTCACACACAGAGACACACACACACTCACACACGTACTCACACACAGAGACACACACACACTCACACACGTACTCACACACAGAGACACACACACACTCACACACGTACTCACACACAGAGACACACACACACTCACACACGTACTCACACACAGAGACACACACACACTCACACACGTACTCACACACAGAGACACACACACACTCACACACGTACTCACACACAGAGACACACACACACTCACACACGTACTCACACACAGAGACACACACACACTCACACACGTACTCACACACAGAGACACACACACACTCACACACGTACTCACACACAGAGACACACACACACTCACACACGTACTCACACACAGAGACACACACACACTCACACACGTACTCACACACAGAGACACACACACACTCACACACGTACTCACACACAGAGACACACACACACTCACACACGTACTCACACACAGAGACACACACACACTCACACACGTACTCACACACAGAGACACACACACACTCACACACGTACTCACACACAGAGACACACACACACTCACACACGTACTCACACACAGAGACACACACACACTCACACACGTACTCACACACAGAGACACACACACACTCACACACGTACTCACACACAGAGACACACACACACTCACACACGTACTCACACACAGAGACACACACACACTCACACACGTACTCACACACAGAGACACACACACACTCACACACGTACTCACACACAGAGACACACACACACTCACACACGTACTCACACACAGAGACACACACACACTCACACACGTACTCACACACAGAGACACACACACACTCACACACGTACTCACACACAGAGACACACACACACTCACACACGTACTCACACACAGAGACACACACACACTCACACACGTACTCACACACAGAGACACACACACACTCACACACGTACTCACACACAGAGACACACACACACTCACACACGTACTCACACACAGAGACACACACACACTCACACACGTACTCACACACAGAGACACACACACACTCACACACGTACTCACACACAGAGACACACACACACTCACACACGTACTCACACACAGAGACACACACACACTCACACACGTACTCACACACAGAGACACACACACACTCACACACGTACTCACACACAGAGACACACACACACTCACACACGTACTCACACACAGAGACACACACACACTCACACACGTACTCACACACAGAGACACACACACACTCACACACGTACTCACACACAGAGACACACACACACTCACACACGTACTCACACACAGAGACACACACACACTCACACACGTACTCACACACAGAGACACACACACACTCACACACGTACTCACACACAGAGACACACACACACTCACACACGTACTCACACACAGAGACACACACACACTCACACACGTACTCACACACAGAGACACACACACACTCACACACGTACTCACACACAGAGACACACACACACTCACACACGTACTCACACACAGAGACACACACACACTCACACACGTACTCACACACAGAGACACACACACACTCACACACGTACTCACACACAGAGACACACACACACTCACACACGTACTCACACACAGAGACACACACACACTCACACACGTACTCACACACAGAGACACACACACACTCACACACGTACTCACACACAGAGACACACACACACACACACTCTCTCTCTCACACACACACACACAGCAAAATAAAATTAAATAAAAAACAAAAAATAATTACACTCACAATGTTGCATTAGCACTAACAAGCATACATTCTATATTCTACATAAATAGTAATACTATTAGGCTATATTATTATGATATACATAGTACATACAACACCTTTAATATGTTTGAGCGCTAAACAAGTCATTTGTATTTGCAATCACTCTGATTGGGCGTATGGGTGTGGTCTGTGCGCGATATCGGCCAATCAGCGGAGGGATCCCGCTGTGGGCGGGGCCGCGGTTTGTTGCAGCGAGTTCTGTGCGGTTCTTCAGTTCTGTGGCTGTGGGCCGTACCATCTGCAGCCGGAGGGGTGGAGCCACACACACCGATATCCAAAATCTCGCTTCTCCTCAGATATACAGCACTAGCTTGGTTTGTAAGGATTTATTCGTACAATATTTATATTACCAGCAGCTGTGACGGGGAATTAGGCGGATCGTTGTTAACGTAAGTCTGCTGTGTTTTCACCGTGGGTCCCTCTTCCAGCATTGACGGTCCTGTAGTCCCGAGCTCCAGTCTCTTTAACGGGATTCACGCTTGCTGTACATCAGTAGTGTATTTCTGCAATGAGCTGAACCGACAGGAATATTTTAAGGAATAACCTGGGAAAATCATGGAATAATACCAATACATAACATTTATTCAGGTATGATGTTTTATGCATGCTTGCTTCGAAGTGTGCACTGTTGTTTACCGCATTTTGCAATATGCTGTTCAAATCCAAATAACGCATAATGCAAATATGCATGGCGAAAAGTGTGCATATTCCTTTTTTTTTTGCATTTATCTTCTCCGACTGATGCATTAACGGTGTAAACCAACACTGCTTGGCCCCATTCAGGAGTGGATGACAGGTGTGGGTTGAATTATGCATGCATGTGAAATAACTTAATGCATAATGCAGCCTAAAGCTTCCCGAATGCATGCTACACGGTGTTAGAATTACATATTACATGCGACTTGTGCTTGTTTGCATTAAAGGCATAAAAAGATCACTTATTTCAGAGACTGATGCATTCAAAGGGGAAGGGGTGTCACATCTGTATGGCAAACTATCACACCAAAATGCAGTTTGCATGCTTGCCAAACAGTGTGCACTGGGGAATTAGGCGGATCGTTGTTAACGTAAGTCTGCTGTGTTTTCACCGTGGGTCCCTCTTCCAGCATTGACGGTCCTGTAGTCCCGAGCTCCAGTCTCTTTAACGGGATTCACGCTTGCTGTACATCAGTAGTGTATTTCTGCAATGAGCTGAACCGACAGGAATATTTTAAGGAATAACCTGGGAAAATCATGGAATAATACCAATACATAACATTTATTCAGGTATGATGTTTTATGCATGCTTGCTTCGAAGTGTGCACTGTTGTTTACCGCATTTTGCAATTTGCTGTTCAAATCCAAATAACGCATAATGCAAATATGCATGGCGAAAAGTGTGCATATTCCATTTTTTTTTTGCATTTATCTTCTCCGACTGATGCATTAACGGTGTAAACCAACACTGCTTGGCCCCATTCAGGAGTGGATGACAGGTGTGGGTTGAATTATGCATGCATGTGAAATAACTTAATGCATAATGCAGCCTAAAGCTTCCCGAATGCATGCTACACGGTGTTAGAATTACATATTACATGCGACTTGTGCTTGTTTGCATTAAAGGCATAAAAAGATCACTTATTTCAGAGACTGATGCATTCAAAGGGGAAGGGGTGTCACATCTGTATGGCAAACTATCACACCAAAATGCAGTTTGCATGCTTGCCAAACAGTGTGCACTCCAGAGTACTGCTGGGATGGCATGCCAAATATTTAGCAGTAGGAGAAAAAATGACTTGAGTTGTTGCTAGCAAATATAATATAGTGCATACTCAATGCATAACGCAAATGCGTCCAGTAATGGTGCGAATGAAGTGTACATCTGAGTGCAGTTTTGTGCATGCAGGGGGAAGGGCAGCAGACACTGGAAGACTCGCTTTGTGAAACCCGAGACTTCAGAAAGCACAAAGCATCTCCGTCGCTTCTCTGTTCAGTTTATGCACTTAAAATAACACCACATTTCAAACGAATGCGTACTGTTCTCGTGCTCTGACGCGTTAACACGTTGTACAGTTGCTGTTTTCCCCCCGAATGAGGTGCTGTGTGTGATATATGAGGAGGAATGATTCGTTTGGATGAATCGGTTAGTTCACCGAAGATCCGAATCGCGTAGCGTGTTTCGCAGAGACAATTGTTTTGATTAAAAATGGCACGTTTTCGTTTAAGTTTTCGGTTTTACTGCCAAATTAAATTATATCCTTGCCTCTTCTCGGGTGATTTACAAACAGTTCGGATCTTTAAAAAAAGAACCGATTCTTTCGAATCGGTTCGGTCAGGCATCACTAGCCTGCGTTATGTGTGTTATCACATTATGTATTATGAAGTGTTATCACTTCAAGCTTGATAAAGGCTCTGTATTGCCAAAGCATTCATAAAAACCTTATAAATGCACCGTTTTTCTGTTGGAAAATCCAGATTAGGCTGGTAAATGTGTTTTGGTAACTAGTTTCAAGCTGGTTGACCTGCCATAATGTTCAAAAAACCAGTTTGATCACTTTAATCTTGTGTTATATAAATGAATGACAGGGTTTAGGTTCAGAGTTTGTGTCTGATGCACATATACGGTGTTTACATATAGATGCATGAATGAACTTTTAAGGGTTAATTTGCTGAATATCAGACAGTGCAGTTGCACTCTGTGCATTAATGATAAGGATGATTTTCTGGGTGGATTTTTGTTCAGAAAACCCTTCTGTGTGATTTTCTGCCAGCCGTTACAGAGTTATAGATCAGACATGAGACCAGAAGAATGTGCGTGTTTGACAGTGTTGGTCTGGGTGATATGTATATTTATATCTATTATATATATATATCATTATTTAGACAACATTTTTTATTTATTCTAATAATATGTATTTAATTTACACTACCGGTCAAAAGTTTTTGAACAGTAAGATTGTTTCTGTCTTGTCTCCTGCTCACCAAGCCTGCATTTATTTGAGCCAGAGTACTGCAAAATTGTGAAATATTTTTACTATTTAATATAACTGCTTTCTATGTGAATATCTGTTAAACTGTAATTTATTTCTGTGATGCGCAGCTGTATTTTCAGCATCATTCCTCCAGTCTTCAGTGTCACATGATCTTCAGAAATCAGTATAATATGCTGATTTGCTACAAAAAAAAAAAGTAATATTATTATTATTATGTTGAAAACAGCTGAGTAGAATTTTTCAGGTTTCTTTGATGAATAAAAAAAATCAGAAGAAATATATATACACACACACACACACAGGCCTATATGTACATTTATATTTTTATTTATATTTAAGTGATGAACCATATATACATTTGATATTTTATCTTATATTTGATATTTTTCATTATAATTTAGACAATTTATGTTTTTAAATTATTTGAATAATATATATTTTTATTTCTATTTAAGCAATAAACAACATTTAATTTTTAGTAAATGAAAAATGCCACTGAGATGTTGAAGTAATGCAGATTAATTGTTAAATCAGTTTGTACTCGAGAGACAGGTAAACAGGTGGAGACAGTGCTATTACAGAGACAGAGATGACTGTACGGTGGTGAAGAGGCCTAAACATCCCAGCTGTGAAGACGCCTCGGACACAAGAGTCTTTGTTTAGTCTCTCTGTTCGGGCCACAAAGCTGCCTCTGTGTGTGTGTGTGTGTGTGTGTGTGTGTGGGTGTGTGTGTGTGTGTGTGTGTGTGTGTGTGTGCGTGTGTGTTGGAGTGTGGGTGTGTGTGTGTGTGTGTGTGTGTGTGTGTGTGTGTGTGTGTGTGTGTGTGTGTGTTGGATAGTTAGTGTGTGTGTGTGTGTGTGTGTTGTGTAGTTAGTGTGAGTGTGAGTGTGTGTGTGTGAGTGTGTGTGTGTGTGTGTGTGTGTGTGCGTGTGCGTGTGCGTGCGAGTGTGTGTGTTGTGTAGTTAGTGTGTGTGTGAGTGTGTGTTGTGTAGTTAGTGTGTTTGTGTGTGTTGTGTAGTTAGTGTGTGTTGTGTAGTTAGTGTGTTTGTGTGTGTTGTGTAGTTAGTGTGTGTGTGTGTGTGTTGTGTAGTTAGTGTATGTGTGTGTGTTGTCGTCACCCGTCGCTCTGACAGATGAAAGGCTGCAGGACTGTGAACTCTCTCTGAGATCTCCATCGCCTGTGTTTCTCTGTTTGCATCGAGCTGATGTTGAAGATCAGGCCCGCAGAGATCAGAATGTATTATCACTTCATTATAATCCAAGAGTATTGCTTTTGATTTTATAATGTGCTGGTGAAATGTTCAGGAAAGAATCCGGCATTAAGAAAGTGCACAGAGTTGATTGGATGAGTCTAGTTTCTGTCTCGGCGCTCTGAGCATCAGTTTGTTCTGCTCTCACTTTCTCTCTGTCCGTTTCACTGGACTCACAGAACTTAGAGTTTTTCTGCAGTATTCTTATTTGATTTTGTTGATTTTTAAGTGCTCATGCACTCAACAGCATGTCAAGTTTTATTTAATAATTTATTAACTTGAAAATTAATGTCAAGATGTCAAGGTGTGTGTGGGTGTGAGTGTGAGTGTGAGTGTGTGTGATTGTGTGTGGGTGTGAGTGTGTGTGTGTGTGTGAGTGTGAGTGTGAGTGTGTGTGATTGTGTGTGGGTGTGAGTGTGAGTGTGTGTGA